TATACTATGCAAATATGTATATATAAAAATAATGAGTCCGTATATGAATATTTTTGTACCGTATACCTGTTTCCTTCGTGAAGGCAATCACCATGTCCTCCTTCTCTGCTCGTCCAAAGCCAGTCCCAGTGAGTTTGACGCTCTTGGGTGAATACGACGTATACTCTATGTCCAACTGATGCAAGTGGTACTTGAGTATACCCATGTGCTCCTACGTGAATTCAGAAAGACCGTGTTTGCAAATGTTGAGAGTGAGTAATTGAATTGACCATGCATCTAGCTGGCTGGCGAACAAGCTTGGAAGCAAACAAGCACGAATACGCTGCGATCGAAGTGGCTATATTGTAGGAGCTTAATCGTCGGCCCAGCAAAAGAAATCCCCACGACAAACACATACGCATACACACATGTATATGTAAATGTAAATGCAAATGTATATGTATATGTATATTTGTACGTATATATAAATGTATATGTATATGTATATGTATATGTATATGTATATGTATATGTATACGTATATATATAACTGTATCTAGTGATCAAGCGCGACTCGTTTCTTTCACCATGCTGTCACAACAACATTCGCATACATACACATTGACGATAATGCCTATGTATGTGCACTCATTTTTGCTCAACTAAATGGGCACATACAAGCGAAGGCGCTTCCATACACAAATACAACTGCTCACGCATATACTCACATACAAGTATACGTCATGCCTACGTGAAAGTAATTATCATGTAAACTTAATATATTCAAGTGTGTATATAATCTATAGAGATATGAATTATACATATTGATATACACTCATAGTAGAACATACCCCGATCAAATACGACATGTGGCTATTCGACATAGAATATCCCTCAAGACCAGTTGTTGTTGGTTTCTCTTGCGCTAGAAACGTACCGAAATGTTTACTGATTTCCAGAAACTGCACCATCCCCATTGTGTCCTAGAAATACAATTTGGTAGGACAAATAAAAACTTTTGTAAAATCCATGATTGTATATCAAAATGTTTCAGATCTTTAAAAACGGCAACATCTCTGTGCCACTCTAGATACACAATTATTCATTCTAGCATCCGGTGTGAATATATCCAAAAATAAGAAGCTACACAATAAATACGAAGAAAGTATTTCCAAATCCAGTGGTACTACACTCAGTGTGTGGGAAGAAATTCATGGGCATGTGTTGGCATAAATAATCTCAATCAAGTATAACTGGAATCTTAGCATTAACAGGAATTAGAAAAAGGAATGAATGTGCGCCTGTGTATGTATTGACGTGCATGCACGGCTGTGTGTTTCTGCCCACGTACGACCGTATGCATGTGCATCTCTCCAGGGACACGTTTCCGCGTCCATCTGTGTGATCCCCCTTTTATTTTACGCTTGTATTCTCGGCCACATTCTATATGAAATTATACCTGAAACTTTGCCTTGTCCAGGACTAGACGAAAAAGACAATTCCACGAAAACCATCCTAACAACCAAATATCACTGTCGCGCCATTTTGCCTCAGTCCATGTCACCAGATAGTCACTAACAACACGATTTTTTTGTTTGAACAGTGCATGGGTATTAATATGCATGGATAAAATTGTTCTTCAGTGCTTTTAGCCAACATTTACTGGTGCAGAGCCCCATATCTAGGCTTCACTGCAATGTTGTGAATCAATTTATCAAAAATATAGCACACATGCACACATACCTTTCACACGGACATACAAAAATAAACACGTGGCTCCGACGCACGCACATAAAGCAGCACTTAAACTTCATACATACACCGTACCTCTGACCGTTTCGCATACCTTAGCAATACGGTTGCCAACCAATTGCCCATTCAAAAAGGAACCGCACCTCCTTTTCTTATCCGTAACAAACATTATCTTGCAATTCTCGAAAGAGAATTTCATTCCCTTAAACACGCAAACAGCAGCGCAACCGGATCCATAGTCGATACCACCGACATGTACTATGATGTGGAACATAAGGTACAAGGTCAAGTAAATTTAAAGTCCAGAGTTACCAGCATTCCAGAAAGGTGTTATTGGGGATAGGATTCGTGGCCTAAGAAAAAAAAGGGAACAGCCGTCTGCACTAGAAGGACATGATGCCCCATATAATAGAAATGATAATCAAGCAGGACAATTTGGGATACTCCAAATGACGCCAAACTACGCTTGTAAAGTCGCAAAAGAAGTGTGGTTTACAAGCAGTTGGACGCAAGCGAGACGACTTATAAACGCACGACTACACTCAGCAAGCAACAGAAGGCTGGCTCGTAATTAGACATTGAAAGCAAAGTAGCTGTCATGAACCAAATGAAAAGAGGTGCCCAGCGGTTCCTCCACCGACATACGTGGGAAGACTGATGATATTCACGAGAAAGTGGCAATAGGCTCCTATAACAGTACAATTCATAACAAACGATGTATCTATGGATACATATAATTGTGCGTGTTTGTGAGCGTGAGCATATATATATATATATATATACTAATAAGATATACACATATATACATATATATATACATATATATACATATATATATATTATACAAATATATATACATACATAC